ATTACATCATTAATTATCTTAGAAAATTCTGTACCAGAGTATGAGGCAAATTTGCATAATGTTTGTCATACTGGTTACATGACGACATAGAAAACACATATACATGTTTAGTAAGACCTGAACTGTTATCAGGTGCAACATTTGCTAGAAAAATTCACAACTCCTCACATTTCCTTTTTCTTTTTAAACCACATTATTGAGGCATGACTGACATATGAAGAACTGTACATACTTAACGTATACAACTGAATGAGTTCGGAGGTACGTATACACCCATGCAATCATCACCACGATCTATGCCATAAACATATTCATCACCGCCAAAAGTTTCCTCATGTCCTTATTATTTATAAGATAAGAACACTTAACATAAGTCCTACCCCCAGCTAAGATAAGAACACTTAACATAAGTCCTACCCCCAGCTAATTTTTGAGTATTCAATACAGTACCGTTAACTATAGGCACTACGTGGTACAGCGGACCTCCAAGATTTACTCATCTCGCATGACTGAAACTTTGTTCCCTTTAACTAATACCTCTCAATTTTCCCCTCTCCCCAGGCTCTGACAACCACCATTTTACTCTTTGCTCTATAATCTGTCCCTGAATATCCTTCAATTACCTCTTGTGATACGCTTTCCTTCTCTGACTCACTGCATTCCAACAACACTCGCCGCCTCTCAGCTCTCTGACTGCACCGAGGTTTTCCCTGCATCGAAACCTTGTGCCTATGTCACGTTACCCACTCTTTTTGCTTAAGCTTTAGCTTGGGTGTCACAAGGGTTTCCCTTCACTCCAACCTACATGAGGTTTCATAGCACCCTGCAGGCTTTTCCTTTACGGCATTTGTCATAATTTTTAAACTATGTACTTATTCATTTTATCATGAATATTAATGATCTTTCTACTACAGAGGGTTGGTCTCTCTTCTGGATTGTAAGCTCAAAGAAGACAAGCAGGTATCCCTCTTACTTACTTCAATGTCCCTATCATGTATCCCTATACCTGGGATAGAGGCTTAATGAATATTTGTTGAACAAAAGAATTAATGTCCTATCGGGATCCTGGTCATTCTTTAATTCGGTTACTTTCGTTTTCCACAAGAGTCCTTTCTGGCGCCTCAGTCCCTGAACAATCCTCTACTTCCCTGACTTTTCTTTCTTAAAAATAGTTCTTCAAATATCAAATTCAAAACCCTGGTGACAACTGATCCAGCTCATCTCTCCTATCTCTTGCAAAGTTGACTATTTCTTTCCCCAAATATACGATTTAATCCTAAATATAAAGCAAAGTCTGAAATATAATAAATATATATCTATACACACACATTCGTACATATATAAAACAAACAGGACTTCTCATTTTTTAGCTTAAAAAGCCTCTATGATGTTTCTAACTGAATAGGTTGTATTTGTTTTTCCCTGACTTCTTATTGTGCTTAAAGTCCTGCCATATCAGTAAGGCAACTGCCCATCTTCTTTCCACTCTGCGTATCTGCTATTTGGAATTGGGAGCAACACGTTTCACATTTCCAGGAATCCCGAAGCGCCCTGTTCAGGCCTCCTCGGGGGCAGGACAGTTCTTTTCCACCTCTAAATCCCCCGCAGTTACTCTGGGGGCCCACAAACAGGAACCTTTACTAAATGCTGGAACTGTTCAATTACATGAAAGCGTCCTGATTCCCAAGTGATTGATTGGTACTTATTTGACAGATACACTTAATCATTCACATTCAACAAGTATTTATTTAATGCTCCAATATCCAAAATCCTGTGCTTAGCACTGGGGAGAAAATGGTACAAAAGACACATAGGATGCTGTCATTCCAGTGGGGGAAATCTACACGCATGTGTACAATTACAATAAAATATCTAGTAATGGGATAAAGCTAGGTACAGGGTGTCTTCATGGGCACAATAAAGTCCCAGGGCCTGATTCTACCCATAAATATTGAGGAAGGTTTTACAAAGTTGAGTTTTAAAGAATGGACCAGAGTTTACCAAGCCAACAAGAGTAGGGAGGCATAAAAGGGCAAGGCATATTTAGGGAAAGCCAAATAATTCATCAGGAGTAAAACTGGATGCATGAAACAGGTCAGAGAAACAGGCAGAGTTATCCATGTTGGGCCTTCCAGGCCACAGCAAATAGCAAGGGCATCGGGTTACATGGGAGCGGACAAGAGTGAAGCATGCATTTTAAGAGAGAAGTAAGGGAGTGGTGTGGAGAATAACTCAGGGTAGGAAGACAGTAGACTCAAGGAGTCTATGTTTGGGGCGAAACGTGAAGGATCTGGTGTGACAGCAGAGATGAAGTGGGGTCAGTGATTTGCTTGTTATTTAGGAGACAGAAGTTGACAGGATACAGTGATTAATTGCGAAGGAAAGGAGACAGGGAGGAGCCTAAGAGGATTCCTAAGTTTCTGACATGGATCTCTCAGCAAATGATGCCTTTCAGTTGACTTAAGGCGCACAGGAGGAAGTATATTTGCCGAGATGTCTGGGGGTGCCCAAGGGCAGAGGTCTGGCAGGAAAAGGAAATAAGGAGCCGAAGCTCAGGTGAGAGGTCTTAATCAGAGATTGAGATTTCAAGGCGAAATATTCATGATTCTGTTCAGAATGATGAAATGTCACGAAAAAACAGAGCTACCAAGGCCTGCCAGCTGCTGCTTCTTCCCTGTGCAGTCGTCTAACACTCATCTGTCCCAGGACGGGGGGTGGAACCATGTGGGTCTGCCATTCACTTTAGCCTTTCTAGCTTTGCCTGTGGCATCATCGGCAATGAGACAGAGTGGAAGACTATGTGGCCTTCTCCTTAGCCTGCTCCCCTGCTCGCATGTTCTCTGACACTGGTGAGTGCATCTGGGCAATACCGAACACCAGACTAGCCCCATTTGACTGGAGACGACTAGAAATATTTGACTGGAAAGACAGTCGGTCATGGAGTTCTCTTGAGAAGAAACAACTAAATCGACTGCACTATCAACACTGCACCTGACATAATATATCCCTAACCTTTCACGACTTCAGACAGCTCTTTCGAGAAAGCAATCTATGACCAATTTAATCCCTAATCATAAAGAAAGCATAATTATCTGGTAACACCAGCTCAATGATCTAAAATTTTTGAGGACTCATACAACTACATAAATCCTAATGGAAAGAAGAACAGTTATTGATTAAATCTAGATCTAAAATTCTGCTTATTAGTTCACCTTTAAAACTAAATAATTGGTATTTTCACCTAAGAACCTTAAACTTTTATTATGTGAATAGGAAGGTGGTACAGTCCTCTAATATCTAGGAATTTTTAAATGACCCAAACACTTCCCACAACTACTTTTTTTTTTTTTTTTTTTTTACATTTCTTCTTTTAAAATGTTTTATCATTTCTGAGGCTAAACTATAAACAATAAGCCCAAAGATAAAACAACTCGTACACTGACGATCCTGCACGCATTGCAAACCAGAGCAGCAGGGTGTTTCCGCTGGGCTGGGATGTCCGTGTGGTTGGCCTGATAAAGCACGGAATGGGCACAGTGTGGGGCGCCGAGAGGCGGCACAGTCCCCGCACGCAGGATGACAGCGCAGTGTGCTCTGGTTGTCAAACAGCGACCCACGGCCTTCCTGTGGTTCTGCGGGGCACTGGGTGGGGGCAGGGCACGGTGAGGTCTTGTTATTTCCCTTTCCCTTCCACGGTGGCGTGATTCTACTTTCTGTTTCACACATTAAACGTTCCCATAAAATTTAGCTTAAAGAATTCTTTTGCACATGAAAATAAATACTAATGAAGTCTGCAAACCTCTGCTCCAGTGGAAACAAGAGCGGCCAGAATCTACACCCCCGCAGCCCTGGCCTGCAGGTCGCCTGTGTGCAGTGGCCGCAGCTGCCATCGCCACCACCACTTTCTCCTCCATGGCTTTCCTAGGAGCACGTACTGGAAGCCGTTGGTGACAAGGCAGACCTACACGCCCTCATTAATCAGCACATCATTTTATTCTTATGCCAAAGAGAAGCACTGTGCCCTTTTATTTATTTGGGGGGGGGGGTCAAGATCAGAGGCACTGTGGAGCATGCAAAACAGATTTTTCCTTCATACTCTGTTATAGCATCCATTTAATTTTCCCACATGTGACATGCAATTGGAAAAGAAATAGCTGTTTTAAAATTTTAAGTAATAAAACAAAAACAAAACCATAAAGCACTCTTAACAGGAAATTACCAAGCAATATAAAATTATTCTAAGGTTTACTTCCTCTCTGTCCTGCCAAGACGATGACTATGGAGAACAGTCTGGGCTCTCTGAAATTCCAAGTTGGCTACAAGGGTCAACCAACCCTGACCCCACGAGAGGAGGAACAGCTGGAGTGTCTCCTTGGCTCCTCCCTGCCTTCTAAGAGGGAAACGCTGCTGCAGTCGCTGGAGCTAAAGGGCCTCACCGCCAAGATTCACATCGGCCCCCCTTCTGAGGCCTCTCCTCCAACCCAAGGCAAAGAGAAAGGATGGAGCCAGGCCACCTTCCCTCTGCTCAGAAGATGCTCCCCTCTTCACAGGGCTGGAATGGCCCCGAGGGCCTGGCTACCCACAGACAGGAGCCATCAGCCTGTTTCCCTGTGAACCCTCTCTCCCGCATGCAGCAAGGCAGAGCCCGGGGCCTCCTGCATTCTAGATCTGGGCCTCTCTGCTGAAGTTGCTTTTTTCTAGGTTTCTCCTATTTTCTCTGGCACTGAAGCATCCTTGTTTCTCCCTGAGGTGGCGAGAGCCAAGACTGGGATTTGAGCTTCCGTGTAGAAATAGGCACAGGATTAAAAAACAGGCCACACGTGCCTTCGGGGTACACTGGGATTTGAGGCAAAACTCTCAGCTAGATAAGAAGAGGTTCTTTATCTTGATTGGCTTCCTCTGTGCATCTATCTTCTCTGAAGGCTGGAGACGCCTACAACCCCAGCCATACCATCCTAGCCCCAAATCTCAACTTCACCAGAACTTCTCATAACTTTTACCTGATCTGCTTGCCTTCTCTCATATCATATAAGGAAAAGAAGACGTCGGTATCTTCCCCGATGGTGTTGTAGGTGAAACTCTTCAGGCTGAGGAAGAAGTGATGTGGCACTGGCATCCGACAAGCTTCCCCATGACGTGGGCGCATCGTATCCACCTAATGAGGAAGGCGAAAAACAGTAATTCATTATAGTAATCATGGATAAATGAAAACTAAACGAGGGGGGACCATTTAAGAAAGACTGAGGTGTTTCCTCAGCTGACACGGGTGCTGCATCGATATACTTGGTGGGAGGTGGATGAACACGCAGCCAGGAAGTAACCTGAGTGAAGGAGGTATCGGGACAGTACTTCCAACGCACGAGTGAACTCAAAATCTCCACCAGGCCACAAACATCTAAATTCTCCAGGGAACCATTTTCAAAGTCATTTCTCAGAGATACTGACTTGCACTGTTAGATGGTAATAGTTAAAATGTCATTTCTATTTTCTTCCAGACTGATTCACAGTCTCCGCTCCTTCAGGTGTACTTAGATAAATTTGCACAGAGGAGCGGAGACCGGCCAGATTTACTCAGAGGTCAGGGCTCCTGAGATGAAAGGCACTGCGCCATCAGAAAGCCAGTGGTGTCTGTCGTGTCCTGGCGCATCCCTATGTTGGAATCTCGTCAAAGAAAGAGTTGGGGGAAAAGACCAGGAGAGAGGCCTGGTTAAAACGCTTACCTGGGACGTGCTTTGCTGTACACTCTGCCGGCTAGATAAATGCTATGGAAAGAAAGAAAATTCACTCAACTGGGAAGGAAACTTTATTAAGGACCTTCTATATGCTAGGCATCCTGCTATGTCTTTTACATATGTGATCTCACTTAATTCTGATAACCTTGTTAGATAAATGTTATTTATATTTCATGGAGTCAGCTAAGGCTCAGTACAAGAAAGCATTTGCTGAAGGCCACAAGTAAGGCTGCGGCAAAGTCTGGATTCAAACCCAAGCCTCTCCAGCTCAGAGTGCCAGCCATGTCACGGGTGGTGCGTGCTACTGGCCTTCTGCTCTGGCGCCAACCTCTCCACATGCTGCATGTCCCACGTCTTGAGCAGGCTCCCCACACCGGCGGAGGGACGGCCTTTAACGGAAAGGGCTCCCTCCCCACAGCCTCCGCGCTGCTCCTTTACTGCAGGCTCAAGGTAGGAGCAGATGCCAGCCGCGGCCACACACCACACGCATGGTGAAACTTCAAACGAATTGCTTACTTTCTCCAAGACACATTTTCCTCAACTGTAAAACTGAGATAAAGCTTTTATTCTCTTCCTAACAGGGTTATTATGAGGCTCAAATTTCATAAGCAGCATGACATAGTATTTAGGGACGTAAGTGCAGAAGCCAGGACACCTGGTTTTAAACCTTGACTCACACCTGCATTTCTTCATCTGTAAAGAGAGGATAACATATTGTGCTGAACTCAATCTCACAGAGGTTGTGCAGATTAAGCCAGCACAGTGCCTATCATTTTAAGTGGTTGATCGCTATTATCTATAATTAGTATTCTTACTATTATTGGTATTCTTTTTTATAGTTAGTTATTATAGAAAAGTCAGTCCCATTTAGAAGTAAACCCTTGGCAGAAAGAATGGTGGGTTCACAAACGTTAGGTCCCTGGTCTCGGTAAACTCAACAACGAGAGTTTCACGCTGCTCCCTCTTGGGTCCTGGAGGTGAGAGACCACTCACTGGCGAGCTGTTCCACACGAGAAAGAAGGATGGCTGCTGAGCGGAATGATTTCACTTATTTTCCAAATACACACATTTAAGCCTTAAAAAAACTGCAGTACAATTAAGCATTAATTTAAATGCATCTCACTAGCTGTATTTTCTAATTAATAAGTGTTCATGTACATTATTAGCTAATTTAGCTAATTACTGTTGACTTAATATTCATTCATAGGACTATATGTTCCCATAATACATATCAAATACAGTTGGCCCTCTGTATCCATGGGTTTTGCATTTGTGGATTCAACTGATGGGTTAAAAATATTCAGAAAAAAAAAACCAATCCCAGAAAGTTCCAAAAAAGCAAACCTTGAACATGCCACGTGCCAAGCACTATAATGAATCCACAAGGACGAAGTGACGTGTAGGCATACCCAGCTGTAGCCTACATGCAAATGTAGGCTATATGCAAATACTATGCCATTTTACATAAGGGACTTGGGCATCTGCAGATTTTGATATTTGCGGGGGATCTGGAACCAACTCCCTGGGAATACCAAGGGACAACTATATAAGAAAAGCAGCCTCTACCAGCTGGGGAAATAAGCACATAGAATGTATGTGTACAGAAGAAAGTTCACAGATAAAATAGGCTACAAAAAAAGCTTTTTAAAAATGAGGCTTTCAAAAAAAAAAAAAATCAAGCTCCATCTGGTTTACTGACCCATATCCCACTGGGAAGGTTACTAGCTTTCCACTGTTTTAGTTTACGTCTGGGGGCTGTACAGTCATTCTTTTCAAGTGGATCTACTAACTCTTAAAAATGACTAGCAATCTTAAATATATATGTTCTATTATAACTATATATGGAAGTTTACAGCTAATTTCAGTGCAAAACATCCGTGCTGACAATAACATGTCATTCTAGATTTCAGAGGCATCAAATCTGGGAAGAACTTTCAACCTAGCCTGAAAGCACACCACATGGGTGGCCAGAGAAAGGCGCAGGACTGGCATCTTGGAATGTCTTTCATGGCACCGTGAGGAAAAACTATGACCATCAGCTGGCCAGCTCTACAGAGCCATCGCTGACGGTATTACAGCTGTACTTATTACGTTTCTGTATTTGCTTCCTAACTCTAGACTCTGTCCTCCCAGGGAGCAAAGTAACTTTCCTAATTATCTTTATATCCTAAGTCTAATAATGGGTATCAAAAAATAATTTTAAAATGCATAGACTCTGCCAAATTGTCCCCCATAGAAAACTCATTTTCAGCCCTTTGAAGTCTCTGGTCCATTTAGTCTACAAAAGTCTACCATTATGGAGGAAAAATACTGTGCAACTGTTTAACTGAATAACGTAAGAATTGCCTTCTGTACATGTTAAGAATTGTCTTAGGTATTGTGAGTCTTAGAAGGAAATATAAAACATATCTAGTCAGAACTACCAATAACGCTTGATTTTAGTAAATAATCTAATCAACTGATTTAAATCCAGAATTGGAAATATACACACTGACCTACTAAAAATATTAATTAGCACCAAAAGATAACAGACTGACACAGTTCCCAATATACACTGATGTGGAAGGACGACAGCATAGCAGAAGGTCATAATGTGAGTATTCTGCTGGACCCCCACTCTTCGCCCCCAGTTTAGAAGCTCTCATATTATGGAATCTTCAAGTGATCACATTTCCCAGAGAGGCATGGCTAAGATTAACGCAGTTACTTTACTGTTGCCTTTGAGATGCTTTCTAGTTTAGGCAGCACCACTTCTCTACTGTTGAAAGTGGGTTTAGACTCGCTATTACGCAGAACCAAGAACCGAGGAGCATTAGGCTTCCTTTGGTTCTCGTCATATAGAACAGGGGTCCCCAACCCCCGGGCTGCAGACTGGTACCATTCCGGGTCCTGTCAAGAAACAGGCCACACAGCAGGTGAGCGGCGAGCTAGCAAAGCTTCATCTGTATTTGCAGCTGCACCCCAGTGCTAGCATCACCGCCTCAGCTCCACCCCAGATCCAGTCTCACAGGAGCACCCGTCCCTGCTGCCAAAAAGGTTAGGGACCGCTGATATGGAAAATTCATCTGTATATTTAAAGTGATTTTTATCAATTGTTATCATTCAACACTTGTGTAGGGTCTGGAATTTTTTAATGAAAAACAAAATGGTCTAAACACAAACTTAAGGTATAATCCTTTTTACAAAGGTTTCTTGTAAAATACATGGCAAGGAGTATTATAATCAAAAAGTTACATATTGAGTCATCATAATCTCTAGCAATAGATTTAAACGTTAATACAAAAAGGTCCTAAAAGGTTACTCCTTTGAACCTTGTTGATAAATTTAAGCTTTAACCAAAACATTCACTGTATATTTACTGTACACAATTAAAAATATGTGGTTTTCAATGAATTTATGGACTCTCAAAATCAGTTCTTCATCACATCTAATTCTTTCTGTCAAAAAAGCAAATACATGAGATAAAAAGATGGAAAATCAGTATAAATGAAATAAAATAAAAAGAGACTTGTACCTTAGGCCTTTTTGAGAAACCAACGTTTTAAATTAGCATTTAAATGCATTAAAAGTAACATAAGCACATGGTTTTCCAAATTAAATAGCTTTAAAAGCTTGCAATAAAATGACCAGTCCTCTGTTCACCCTGTCCTGTTCCCCAAAGATAAGGGCTTTCAACTCTTCACTGTGTTTTTGCCTAGAATGTATCAAATATTTCTAAATATCATACTTACAGTGCTCTCTAAGTTTAGATTTATCTATTGGCCTCTTATTATGGAAGCTGAGAATTTTTGCATTTGTTTACATCTATTTCACTTCAACTTTTTTCTTAATATCTCACAAGTTTTGGTTAAAATTTGTTTATACTACTGTAACATAAATGTCATTCTGAGATGTTAACTTGAGAAATCTTTGCACCTCTCAAGTGAGTCAGAAATCTTTTCCTGGATGGCGCATAATTGTATGTTTTGGTTTACTCCCTTATTTTAAAGAAATAATTTATTCTTCAGTAGTTTCCTGAAAGGGGGTTAAAAAGATATTTAAAATATTATTTTATTATTAGATTCGAGTATACAGTACATTGATTAGACATTTAGTTTATAAAACGATCCCCCTAATTGTTCTTTCTCTCCTCTGGCTCTCTACCTAGCCATTACTTTTTCTTTCTTTCTTTCTTTTTTTTTTTTTTGAGACTTTAAGTGACTAAAATTTACTTAGGCTACTTTCCCGCTTGACTGACAATGTGACTCAGTCAATATAAAATTTTAAGTTGAATTTTTTTCTCTCATAATTTTAAAGGCAACTCTTCATTACTGCTAGTTTTCGATGTTGCTATTAGGAAGACAAATGTTATTCTTACAACGACTTCTTAGTAGGTAAACTATTTACCTCTCAGGAAGCTTTCAGCTTCAGTAAGCTGAAATTTTACATTTAAGTGCTAAATATTTATTGGACTTTTTAAATTTAGAGACTCATATCTGTGTTTTGGGAAAGATTTTTCCAGCTTTACTGAGGTATAATCAATATATAACACTGCACAAGTTTAATATGTACAGTGTGATGACAATATATAGTGTGAAATGAGTACCACAATAAAGCTAGTTAATATATTTTTCACTTAACATAATTACCTTTCTGTTGTTAATGTTACAAGAACATTTAAGACCTACTCTTTTAGGAACTTTCAAGTATATAATTAACACTATTGTTAACTACACTCACCATGCTGTATATTAGACCCCCAGAACTTAATCAATCCTTTTATAACTGTAGAAGTTTGTACCCTTTGACCAACATTCTCCCCACTCCTCAGCCCCTGGCAACCACCATGCAACTCTTTCTATGAGTTCAGCTTTTTTAGATTACAAAGTATTTATCATTCTCTATCTGATTTATTTCACAGCATACTGCTTTCAAGGTTCATTCATGTTGTTGCAAATGGCAGGATAGCCTTTATTTTTGCTGAATAGTTTCCCATTATATAAATATACCACATTTTCTATATCCATTCATACATCAATGGATACTTAAGT